CCCAGCCAGGTCGAGTCCCAAGCCACCTGGAATATGGCACAGAATGTTTTGGGTCCTTGTTGTTTGGCCCTATTGAGCATCTTGGGCAGATTTAAACACATAATATTCAATACATGTAGTCAGTCGTCCATCAGCGTCTTCACAATCAGTAGTCTCAATCCACCCAAGACCAAAATATTCAAAAAACAAATGTAACTAAGTTGAATACATTATTCTATGAACAACACAGTGGAACAATGACAGAAGTCACATTTACATTCTGTTAGCTACTAGGGCTGTTGAGGTAAACTCAGTAGTAGAGAACTTGCCTAGCATGTGTGAGACCCTTGTTTGATGCCCAGCAATGCAAAAACAAGCAAGCATCCTTTTGACCCAATTATTATAAGTATCACAGAGATAACTCATGTAACATTTGTGGAAGAGTATGTATGCATTAAGTTTAAATATGTTGGTAATTTATATGAAAAATTGAGTTATGAAGATTTTTATATCAGGAAGTCATCCTTACAACAATTCCCCATGGATAGTAAGAGATTAACATGTTTTGAAATGAATGAATGATGGTTTGTGTGGACCCCATCCCCTAACTCAAGAACTATGAGCCATTAACAGTTGCTGAGAGGAGAAACATTCCTCACCAGGGATAAGCCCCCTAACAGGTTACCCAGTTTCAGTGGCCAGTCCTAAACACATATAAAAACAAGCAACAGCCAATGGATTAAGCATGTCACATTTACATATATTTGCATATATATCATATGTTATGTATGATAGATATCAAAGAGGCTATAATTTTGAGAGTGAGGAGGCATGGGAGAGGTGTGGAGACATAAGACAGGAGAAGATAGAAGGGATGAGTGATATAATTACATTTTTATTAAAAATGTACAAAATAATAAATTAACACTATATGCAAATTTTTAAAGATTAAGATGGAGGTGCTGTTAATAAAGGACAACTTTGCCCAAGGCCGAGACATACTCCTTTCAATTCTCCTCTCCCATTATTGTCGCTACCCTAATTTCTTATCTTCTCCAATAGAGGAAGCACTCTAGAGGAGCAAATGATACTACAATGACACAATCAACAACCATTATACATCTATAAAAATCCAAAAATTCTTATCAGTTAATTGGAGACCTGCCAGAACAAATAAAGAATTTTGAGGAAATATCTGAGATAAAAAGAATATTAAAGGAGTTTGGTTGATTTTTGCAGCTTCTTTTCTCTCCCAGGTGTGGTGGTTTAAAAAAAAATGAGGCTGAGCAGTGGTGGTGCATGCCTTTAACCCCAGCACTCAGGAGGCAGAGGCAGGCTACAGAGAAACCCTGTCTCAAAAATAAATAAATAAATAAATAAATAAATAAATAAATAAAAATGAGAGTGGCACTAGTGGGAGGTGTGGCCTTATTGGAGTAGGTGTGGTCATGTTTGAGAAAGTGTGTCACTGTGGAGGTGGGCTTTGAGGTTTTATATGCTCAAGCCAGGCCAAGTGCTTCAGTTCATTTCCTGTTGCCTTTAGATCAAGATAAGAGGACTCTCAACTCCAGCACCATGTCTGTTGCATGCTGCCTCACTTCCTGCCATGATGATAATGAACTGAACCTCTGAACTATAAGCAAGCCCCCTCCATTAAATCTTTTTCTTTATAGGAGTTATGTGGTCATGATCTCTTCACAGCAATAGAAAACCTAACTAAGACACTGGGCTTTGGTTGGTCTGAATTAGCATAGTAAGAGAAAGAGAGATTTTTTTATGAGATCACTTGATTGACAATCAATTCCAGGCTTATCATATTTATCATTACACTTAAACCAATTCCCCATTAATAAACACTGATTTGTATTTATCATGGAACTATTCATAACAGCTGAGTCATGGAATCAGCCTCAGTGTTCATCAAGGAATGAATGGAAGAAAAAAGCATCTGTGTGAGTGTGTTCATACCTATGTGTCTGCCTGTGTGCGTACCTGCATGTGTGCATATTATTTAGTCTTAATGAAGAATGATGCATGATGCATCTTGTTTGTGAAATAAGCCCATTCCCAGGGATTAATACTGTATCTCTTTCCTCACATATGTGCAATCTGGATTTCTTTACAAGACACGAAAGTAGAGAGACACCACGTGGAAAGTGAAGGGGACCAAGAGGAGAGAAGAAATGGGAGAAGAAAGCATAACAGTAGGTGCCAGGTAAGATCAAAGTACACAGTGTACATATATTAAAATGTCTAATGAAATCCATCATTTTGTACAATTGATACAGGTTAGTTGATTTTTAAGTTAAATGACAATACAATAATGCTTATTACATGTAACACAGGATAGTATCAGCATGATTTTAGAACAACTATCAGTATCGATAAGAAACATAAAAGACTATAGACTCTATATCCTAGGGGAAAAGACTAGGTGTACATCGTTAAGAGGAACAGGGTAAGCCATGGTCTAAGAGAAATGACACTGGTAAAGCAAATAATAAAGACTGATACCTGGTGTAGGAAGTCTTTTTGCTTATGTGTTGCTTTCATTGGTTAATGAATAAAGAAACTGCCTTGGCCTTTTGATAAAGCTAAACTTAGGTAGGTGGGGAAAACAAAACTGAATGCTGGGAGGAAGAAGGGTGGAGTCAGAGAAGCCATGGATCCTCTGCCTGAGATGGACACCAGTTAGAAAATTACCAGTAAGCCACAGCCAAGTGGTAATATACAGATTAATAGAAATGGATTAAATTAAGATGTAAGAGTTTGCCAATAAGAAACTAGAGCTAATGGGCCAAGCAGTGTTTTAATGAATACAGTTTCTGTGTGATTATTTCGGGCGTAAGCTGAACAAGGTATCCCTACAAAGAGAATGTGCTCCTAGATGCCAGTTCAAGCACTAGGGATAAATCCTGGTCCCACTGTCAGTGACCCCACAGACTACCCAAGTCTCATGACTGTCCCCTACATTCAGAGGACCTAGTTTGGTCTTATGCAGGTTCCCCCACTATCACTCCAGAGTCAGTGAGCTCTCACTAGCTCAAGTCAGCTTTTTTAGTGGGTGTCACCATTGTGGTCTTGACCCCTTTGCTCATATTATCACTCCTCCCTCTCTTGGGCTAGTCTCCAGAAGCTCAGCCCAGGGCTTTGTTGTGAATCTCTGTATTTGCTTCCATCAGTCACTGGTTGAAGGTTCTATGGTGACAATTAAGGTAGTCGTCAATCTGATTACAGGGGAAGGCCAGTTTACCTGTCCTCTCCACTGTAGCTTAGAGTCTTAGCTGGGGTCATCCTTGTGGATTCCTGGAAATTCTCTAGCGCCGTGTTTCTCGCTAGTCCTTTAATGGCTCCCTCAATCAAGGTATCTCTTTCCTTTCTCTGACATGGAAACTTCTTAATAATTATAAAACCCTAGCCCTTAGCTTAGGCTTGTTCCCAACTAGCTCATATAACTCAAATTAACCTACTTCTATTTATCAATGTTCTGCCGCTTGACTTTTACCTTTCCTTGGAGAAAGGAGGTCACTATCAGAGGTTTGCTTCTCTGCCACTTCTCTGATCAATCAGGTTTTAGCCTCAGTATCTGGCTCCCGAGTTTTATTTAATAATAGAACAATATAAGTAATTGCTTCATGAGCTCATGAGTGTATATAGCCATATCAAGTTCAGAAGTTTACATTTCTATAACCCTTCTTCCCCATTCTCCAGCCACTGTCTACCCACTCTTCTGCTATATTCCTTAAGCCTTGGTGACGTTTGGGGTGGGGGGGTGTTAAAAATACGTTCTCAGGGTCAATATGGTTACTTTTAAAAGAACATTTGAAGCCACCTATGAGGGTTGACCAAAAACGTAATTTATACTCCACAACCTTCACTCCAAAAATATATGAAAAGTATTCACTAGAAGATGTGGACAAACACATCCATGAGAACATGATATACACTAGTTTAAATGATGAAAATATGTCCATCAAAGGTGAAATACATTAATACAATTTGGTCCCATACTGCAATGATATCAACAAAATGATATCACAGTAGGCAATGAAGTCTATAAATCTCAGAAACAGATTTGAGCAAAAGAAAATAAATAATACTTGCAAAATAACTTCACTTTTAATAAAGATTAAAAACTGACAAACTATGACTTACATACTAGTTGTTTTAGGAACAGGGATAATACCATAATGACAGCTACCAGGTATGCCACTATTTCCTGACACAAACGCTGGACAAATTGTCTTTATCATAATCAGTCAAGCTATATATAAAAGTACTTGTGCTTTTTCAATACTATCTTGTGTTTTAATTTCTTTTAAATAAATGTATATGGTTTGATCTCATTGAATTTAATTTCCTAATTGTATAAAGACAATGTGCTGGTTTGGGAATCTGACCTGAGTTTATTGGTTCTGCTGCTAAGAAAGGATGAAGATCTAAATTGATGGATGCTTTCTATGCCCTTGTGTCATCTTGCTGCCTCTATTGACCCACATTTGTATTTGTTTGTGTTTGAAAGAGGCTGTGGCAATCCCACCTCTGTCCATGTATCCTGTGATAACGCGGATGAAACACAGAAAGAGCCTGTTGCCTGTTGTAGGCTTTTCTGAACAAAAGCGTTGGAGCCAGACGTGGATTCAGCTTGTCACTGTGAACGTAACATTATCATAGCCTTTCCCCAGTCTCCATACAGCCAAAGGTCCAGGATGAAGGAAACCTATGGCCCTGTGGCCGTGACATTTGTCACATGACTCGGGCAGGGATGACACCGATCATTTTCTACAGTCACCCCCACAATTAGTTATGTAAAGAGAAGTGTCAAAGATTTGTAATATATTGAACAACTTCCTCCTTGGAGAATTTCCCCATGAGCCATTGCAAACAAACAACAACAGGGAAAAGTCCTGCTTATTGGTCCCTTCATGGCACGTCCAGGGTATAAAAGCCCCAAAATTGAAACAGCTGTCAGAATCTCAGGAACCCCTGTGAACAGAACCTCTCCCTCCACATCCAACACCATGACCAACTCCTGCTGTTCCCCTTGCTGCCAGCCTTCCTGTTGCAGGACCACCTGCTGCAGAACCACCTGCTGGAGACCAAGCTGTGTGAGCAGCTGCTGCCAGCCCTGCTGCCAGCCCAGCTGCTGCCAGCCCAGTTGCTGTGAGTCCAGCTGCTGTCAGCCCAGGTGCTGTATTTCCAGCTGCTGCCAGCCCTGCTGCAAGCCCTGCTGCTGCAAGCCCAGCTGCTGCCTCAAGCCCTGCTGCCAGCCCTTCTGCCTTGACCTGTGCTGCCAGCCAGCTTGCTCTGGACCTGTGACCGTCACCAGGACTTGCTACCAGCCCACATGTGTCTGTGTGCCTGGCTGCCTGTCCCAGGGCTGCGGGTCTAGCTGCTGTGAGCCATGTAGCTGCTGATCAACTTACCACAGACCCACTAACAACAGACCTGCAAGATAATGACAGTGCATCAGTTTACCACCATTCTCTGCCAATAATATGCACTTAAAAGTAATAGTCATCTTATCAAACTCCCACTCACTTACTTGTTAAGAAATCTCTGCCTTGATCACTGGCCACCATCCAACCCAATTTGATAGCCATTTTTATTTCCCTGACTGCTTCTAAGCATCAGCTGATCTAGACTGGTTTGTAAGCTCAGCCTTGACAAAGAGATAATTGCCTTTTTAATTTAAGAAATTAAAAACAAGAAAAGCCACTTGCAATTATGTGATTAGAACCTTGCAATGATAAATATCTATGATTCTATTCCAATGTGTTTATATGATTTTATGAATCATCTTGTAACTCTTTCATGACTTCATATTTTCTTCTTGGCTTAAAAAAGCATTCACGCATTGTCCATTGATTTTTCTAATAAACTCTAATAATATTCTTGACTGTATTATTCTATGTTTTCTTTATTTTTTATTGTTTTGTTCTTGGAATTATCTTATAGTATCTGAGTTACATCACAGTTCCAAAGTTAATGTGCTGGTAGAATTTCATCACTGTGGAAGAACAACTTAGTGGATGATAGACCTATTTTTGCTCATGGTTTCTCTACATTGTTTGATCTCCTGTGCTTGGATAGAATGGCAAGGTGTCAAGAACACATTGAGGTGTTGATACCACATAGACAGAAAGCCAGAGCAAGGAGGTAATATGGGACTTCATATAACCTTCAAAGGCAAAGGCCCAGTAACCTACTTCCTCCAACTAGGTTCCACCTCCTAAGGTTTACTGAGCATATAAAGAGAAGCATCATCTGAGGACCAAACATTCAGTGCATGAGCCCGTGGAGGGCATTTCATATTCAAACAATAACATGAGCAAACCCAACATGAGTTAAGTAAGTATTATGGCAGGTAGTAGGGATAGCCAGAATCAAATCAAGGGCCTCTGGTTGTCTGATCCTTGAGGTAAGGTAGTCACAGGTACAGTTTTAGTTTAAGGAAATAGAGTACTGTAAACTGAACACTAGGAAGATGTATACTTCGCTTTCTTCCCAGGTAACATCATTGGTTCTCTCATTTTCAGTTCACATTCATTCACAAAGCTCTTCCCAATTCGTTACTCATACCTTGGTCTCTACCATCCACTCCTTAAGACCAGCAGTGTTTTTAAGAGCCCTACCAAGCGCTATACACTCCAGCCAGACAAATGGTGAATGTCTTCAACTGCGTTCAATGATCCAAATGTTCCCGCCACTGTCCTGAGACTTTGATGTGAATGGTTGCCCTAGTAAATGTTTATTGATGCCACAGGAATGCGCTTGTTTTTCTGGTCCTTATTCTTATATGACTGTGTGTATCATTGGGAAATAGACAGAATTTCACTTGCACTCACACATGGAAAGATAATTGTTTCAAGGTCAAAGTGGCATTAAGGAAATAAAGGAGTGACAAATCCCAGAATTCAAGGCAAATTATTGATGCTAGCAGGCTTTGATCTTCCATGGTCTTTGAACCACCTGAGGGATCCAAAAATATACATGACCTATGGGAGGGAAAGAACAACGAACTGAGAAAAATGAAAACTTTACTTCTAAGGTCAGAGAGGCTGTGAGGAGAGATCAAAGGAGGAGGTGCTTCTAGGAGCAGGGGTAATTATGAGCCAGGAGCTGAAAGAGAAAACAATAGACATTCTGAAAGAAAGAACAAACAATGGAAAACAAAGATAGAAAGGCTAGTGTTGCTACAGGAAAATGGGGAAAATGAAAAGAAATAACTAAATACCTTAGAGGACCTAGATGCATCGTCTTCCCAGACACATGCCAGAGAGTCCCTGTACACACTTCCAAATTTGTAAGTGATTGAAAGAAAGAGAGTCAGAGACCAACACAGACACACACAGAGAGACACACACAGAAGAGATTAGCCCAGATTATTTTTATTTTATTTCTGTTTATGGAAACAGAAAACGGAGGTCAGAGGCTGAGCATCATGTGATCTTTGATATGAACATTCTGCAGTAGATCTTACCAATAGAAACAGTAGATTGACTTCAGGGGTAATGGATCAGTATAGACATTTTCTAGAAGAACAACATCAACAGTCATTTGATATGCTCTTTCATCCAACTCCCAAACTTAACTTTATTTTGTTGTCCATTCCTCTTCAATTAATTTATAGTAAACTCTGTAAGCATTGAATGTAATGGCTTGCTGAAATTCTCCCTTTAACATGCAGTTTAGAAACTGAACTCCTAGGTTTAGCTTATTTTTTTTTCTCAGAGAGAAAATTGAAATCTCTAGGATAGCATATACAGCTTAACTTTGAAAACTGTAAGAGAGGCATTATAAAGGTCATTACAGAAGTCACTGAGTTCAGGCATAGTAGGATTGGAAATTTATATTCAATTCTTGTTATCTTTGCAACAAATCCACCATCAATTTAGTGGCTTAAACAACACAAATTTATTATCTTTCCAGTTCTAGAGGTCAGATGTCAAAAATTCAGTATCCCTGAACTTGAATCCAAGTGTTAAGTTTTTTGTTGGTTGTACCTTTTCTGTAAGCAGTGTTTGGCATTTTCTGTCTTCTAGGGCAGCCCACCCTCCTTGCATTGTGACAATATATTATTTTGCCCATGTTTTCCATTCCATCTTTATTGATCAGGACCCTGTGTTTACACTGAACAGCTACAAATCACCCAGAACAATCTAGCCCTTTTGGGATTCTTAATCATGTCCTCAAAACTCCTTCACCACGAAGGGAGACACAGTCATAGGTCAGGACATGGCCAGCTCTTAAGGGCTGCTGTCCTAATCACAAGAAGAAGCTTGTTATGTTCAGAAGTAAAGTACTCGTAGTGGGGAAAAATCCAGAATTAATTGGTGTAATGTGACTATTTCTTCTAAAATGACGTATGTCAAAGTATTCCTAGACAAATGAGGAATAATTTGAAGTTACGAAAGTTAGAATGTTAAGATCTACAAGGCTATGTATAGAGCTTCACTGTTCTTGTTCACTTGTTCAGCATCCTCTCATGACTCGGAACTAGCTGTTGGAGTATTTGAGCAGTTGGTTGGCAAGATTTAGAAACATGCTAACCTTAGAAACATGCTAACTCCTAGTTAGCTTCTCTAAATATCATAGTCAGAACTGAAAAAACCCTCACTCTGGCACCACAGAAACCTGAGCACATCTAAACCTGGGTGTTGAATTTGAGGAACCACACCCTTCCTTCTGACACTATAATGTCATCGGTATAGCAATTATGATTGCACCAATAATTTCATTTACAGACCAGGTTTATTTTATTTTGTAAAATTACAACATTGTGTAATTCTTCATCTCTTATAAAAAATGATCATTAAGCAAACCAAATAAAATATTTGTTATGAATAATAGAAGTAGGTGTAGACAAGACACAATGTAGGTAAAAACTGCTGACTTGGAATGCATGCCAAAATGAAATGTTTCATAGTGGAATTAAAACAATTGAGAAATTTAATGATGATGGTGTCATTACATGCCAGAACTCAGAGGCTATCATGAAAAATGGCATTTTGAGGGGAACCTGTAGTCTTAAATTATTTAATTATTTATTCTACAAAATAAACTTTAAAAAAGATAAATCTAGTATTTTAGTTAAAAGTTTGGGAATGATCAGTTCAGTGCCCCATTTTTTAATCGGGTTAATTAGCATTTTAAAGTCTAGTTTCTT